GTATAGAGACCTTCTGCTTTATATCAAACTAGTATTATCCACAGAAATAAAAGCTTCATCGTCCTGCATCTTATTGTGACCAAGAGAAGAGACCTTCTGCAAAACGTGAAACTTAGCTTGGAAGGTTTCTCTTCATATTTTTTAAAAATTTTCTTGTTTAGAACCCCAACTATGGATTAACCAACGCAGTAAAACTAGACCTTCTGCGAAACAAAGAAATAAACGTCAAATTCTCTTTGGGGGGTATAAAAACCTATCCCATGTGTGACTTTGCTTCTCTACAACGCTCTAAACAAGAAAATTTTTAAAAAATACGAAGAGAAATCTTCCAAGCTAAGTTTCACGTTTTGCAGAAGGTCTTATGATTTTTTGTGTAGAGTGATCATAAAGTACTATTGGTTCTACTAACTTTATGTATATTTCTTTCGGTTTTTCTCTAGCATGAACTTCACTAGTAATAAGATTAGGACACTCTGTTTCAGAAAAGAAGTTATGAGAATATATTGTACTCCAATTGCTACCAGCAGTATAACACGTACTATGAGCCTTAACACCATTATGCTCCCATGTGCAAGCTTTGTCATCATCATAATTCTGACATTGCCTATACCACATGTCACTGGCCTTTGCCCACGTATAATCAATATTATCACCTACAATAGCAAGCTTAAAATTCCCTGCCATCACAGGACTAGTTACATTTTCTAGTTTCTCTTTTAGAGCAGGATTTTTATCAAAATTAGGAAACCACTTTTTTAGTATACAAGCTGTATTAAAACCATAATGACCTACATGACCATAGCTTTTGTAATAACCCGCATAGTACCCACATTCTTTATTGGGGTCAGCATGGTCTGCGGTTATTTCTTTAGCAACAACTGTGTACGGTTCTCCATCATCTTGGCATCCTTTGCGATCATCTGGGTGAGGTTTTGGATTAGGGTTTGGATCAGGACGAGGCTTTTCAGGGTAAGGCCTTTGATCGTAGTTTGTATCAGGACGAGGCTTGTCAGGGTAAGGCCTTTGATCGTGGTTTGTATCAGGACAAGGTAGGCAAGGTTTTTGATCAGGAGTAACAACTGACCTTTCCCAATTATTTAAGGATTCACCATAATTAGGTTTTGGACAAATAGCTAGCCTGTTCAGATTACCACTACTTGCAGACTCATCATAACAACACTGCTGGGGCTATTAGCAGAAAGATTAAGCACTAACGTATCACCGGTGGTAAATGGCCAATGATGTACAGTACCATATTGACATGAATAAGAAAAATTATACGACATAAAATACCTCTATCATAAATAATTGGGAAAATTGATTGGTAGACAGAGATGCACATTGCGCATCTCTCTAATGTTTATTCTTACATTACATAATATTTAGCAGGTGTAACTCCTTCTCACTCATAAAAAGGAAGAGAATATGCAGCTGGTTTTTTACCTCCAGCACGCGTATGTTTATTAAAGAATGATTTACTACTTTTAAACAAGCACTGCATGATTTACTATCTTCACATTTACCTGTAACTTTACCATTTGAAATCATAAAATCATTTGCTACTTTTTCTAGCATTTCTATGTATTCTTTTGGAATATAGTGAGCGTTCGGTGCATAAGCTGGAAAATAAGATGTATGTACATGTGATTGTAAGAAGAAGTTGCAAGTCATAGTAATCTCCTAAAATAACTTTTCACTATTATAAAATAAAATAGTTAATAAATTAATAATTTAGATTAATATATAGTATTTTCTAAACTACATGATAAATCTCTGTAATAGAGTTAGATGTACAGTGCCGAAATGACCTTACCCAGAAAAAGTAGACAGGAAGTTAAGACGTTTTTAGGCTCTGTGAACCAAAATTTGGAGAAATAAGAAAAAAGTGGTAGTTTAACCGTGAATAAATAAGGAGAAACTACCAAATGAAATATTACATACAAGAAACAAAATGGAAACAAATTTTTGCAAATTTGAAAAGCGTAAAAGGAATACACAGTAAAAACGAAGATCGGATAAGAAGGTTCATGGAATCAGTGTGGTACATGGCTCGAAGTGGTTGCCAATGGCGACTTTTACCAGAAATATATGGCAATTACAGAAGCGTACATAAGAGATTCAAAAAGTGGTGTGAAAAGGGAATTTGGGAAAAGCTGCTCAAATATACACAAGATCCAGATTTGGAAGTGCAAATGATAGATGGAACAATCGTTAGAGCACATGCTTGTGCGGCTGGATACAAGAAGGATACCGGAGCTCAAGAAGCACTGGGACGCAGCAAAGGTGGCTTTACAACAAAGATACATGCTCTTGTTGATGCTCTGGGAAATCCGCTTAAATTTACTTTAACTGCTGGTCAAAGGAACGATATTACACAGGCTGAAGCATTAACTGAGAATGTCTCAAATTCAGTTGTGGTGGCCGATAAGGGCTATGATAGTAATGCTTTTATTGTGGGTCTTGAGAATAAAGGGTGTGAGGTTGTTATTCCTCCGAAGCGTAACCGAAAAGTGCAGAGGTATTATGATGAGCATATTTATAAAGAACGTCATTTGATTGAATGCTTTTTCGGCAAAATAAAACATTTTAGGCGGATTTTTTCAAGATTTGATAAGACTGCCACGGTTTATTTAGGCTTTTTAAACTTCGTTGGGGCCCTCATATGGCTTGCTTAAAATTTTGGTTCACAGAGCCTAGAA